AATTGGGCCGAGGCGGCCGAGGTCCGAGCTTTTCGAAGTTATCGTAGACTTGTAGGATGGCAGAAGGGGCCCGCAGCAGGGGGGTGCAAGGGTGGCTGAATGGCCCATGAATGCTCAAGACACCGTTGATACATATGATCATGTATGATTGACACCCAAGGTTGGTGGTCATATTTGGCACGGGCCAGTCGTTCGTGCTCGCGCTTTGTCCGCGCGGGCAAACGCGCCGCCCATCCATTATCGTTCATGCGCGTGGGTATTCTGGCAGATCGCGCGCGGGGCGGCGAAGTGGAATGCAAGTGCGTCTTGCTTGTGCGATTGATGATCGCACGTGCTCCCAGGCGGCGACTTGTCAACCCCCAGGACAGATGTGGAACGGGTGCCGCCAGTCTCTCAACATGCCATGTCACATGTTTTTCCCACAAATGTGAATTCATAGTTTCCTTTTTTCCAAGAATGTGAAGATGTGAATTCACATTCGGAGCCCTTTTATACATAATCCTATTACGAATTTCGTGGCGTGGATATAGAATTTCCTTCTCCCCACAGGTGAATCTACATTTGCCTTTTTCCAAACATGTGAATTCACATTTTGCTGTTCCCCACGATTTGAATTCGCATCTTGCCCTGGCCCTCGAGACCCCAGAACTGAGGCGCAGTGTTCCGCGTGTCAGATTGGCTGTGTAAATTTTGACACTCACTTCGCCGCCTTCGTCTATTCCAGCCTTCCCGTCTTGCGCCCTCAGTGCGCTTTGCCGTCGTCGTCTCTCCCAGGCCCCCGACCCCCTTGCTTCGTTCCCCTCAAGTCTGGCGCAGGGGCGCGGGCGGGGAGCTTCAGGCGGCGCCGCCGCCGAGCACAGCAATCGAGGACGCGTCGCGCGCGCGTGGCCTACGGGGCCACCGTTGCCAGGGCCCGCGGGCGGTCGCGGCGTCGCCGACTGCGCCCCTTCCGAGATGGCAGCGCAGAGGCGCCCGGCCAGCACCGACCCGAGAGATCCATCCGACCGCGCGAAGGTCGACGAGGTGGCCAGGTGGATCATCGTTGGTTGGCTGGCAGGGGCAGGCCGCGGCGACGACTGTGGCTGCGTCGCAGACGGGCAGCCCATCCGCCCCCGCGGGCCGGCGGCACTCCTACGCGAGGCAGGGGGCCCTCACGCGACGTGAATGGAAGAGCAGAAGCGGGGGTCACAGCGGCCCCCCTGCGCGAGATGTTCCTGCATGGAGAGCGATTCGAATAACTCGCGAAGTGGCGCCTCGACCATGGGGCGGTCAACGACAGCGGCGTGGCAGACCGCGGCGATTGGCTCCGAGGACGACTTGCAAACGTGGTGAAGGCGGGCGGCATGACCAGGATGTCCATGTTGGCAGCTGCGCAACCGCTTCCACGACAACTCCACCATGGCGGCGCTGGCGTTCCTGGAGAGCGCGAGGCCCGTTCGCGACGGCGCTCGCGAGTTTGCTGTGAATCGTTTGATTCAACGCAGGAGCTGGGGGCCGCCAGAGGATGCCGTGATCCGCAGAGAACAACTACCTCCTGAGTAACTACGCGGACCGGCACGAAGTCTTCCTCTCGATCGTCACCGAAGTCAAGGGCGAGCATTGGGCCCTCGAGATCGGCGAGGGCGAGGGGGCATGTTGGCTTGCGAGTTCGAAGACGAAATCTGTTACAACACCGTCGGCACCTTCGGCATATCCAGCGCTTCATCATGGCGGGCCAGGCTGTTCGGGGCCCGGCAGCGGGCGATCTTCTGTCTGTTGGGGGGCGATCGGTTCGTGGAGCAGCTCACCTGCGCCGATGACTCATGGGCGGGCGGGGCGGGGCGACGCGGGAGATTGGGCCCCCAGTGCAGAGGGTCAAGACGCGGGCCACTTCGGGGTGGGCTAGATTGGGCCCCGCTGTGATGGCACCACTTGCCGCGTGGGCCATTCAGAGGCAAGGGCGCCTGGGATTCGCGGGTGTGGTCCTTATTATTTGGGAGAGAGGCCGCGCCCGGGGCCGTCGCGCGCCGAGCTCGCCGGCGGAGCGCGGACAGACGAGAAGAGGATGCCCCCGCCGTGGGCGACCGGGCTTCTGTTGACGTGGATCGGCAAGCGACTGGCCAGCGGTTGAAGAAAAGTGACGCCCATCGAGATCAGAACCGAGACACCGGTCGCGTCCGCTCGGGCGCGACGGCGGAGGCAGGGCGCCGCTGGATGGGCGGCTGGCAAACGCATGCGAAAAACAGCGCGCGAAGAGCTCGCTGGCACGCGCTGGAGGTGGAAATGGAGTGGTTTGCGTGGGCGCGAACGCAGACGACCCGAATGGGGCCGTCGCGGCGCTTGTCCTGCGCGCGATCCCCGACGAGGAGCTGTTCTCGAGGCCCAGAGAGCTCCGCCAGAAGGCGAAACCCAAGATTGCGGGGTCGACGGGCGGCCCTGGGAACGCCTCCCCTGCGAACAGGGCCGCGTTGACCAAGTTGCCGTTGGCGGCCCACCTCGTCGAGTCCTCGGCGGTTTGTGGCCGCGCGAGATGGCGCCGAGCCTGGGCTGGGCACCGCGCGACAGTAGCCAGGGCGCAGACAACCTCGGCATATAGAAGACGGCGGATTTCGACGAGTCTCTCAGGATCCACGCGGCGGCCGCGGACCTGAAGTGGCACGCGCTTGGCGAGATGATGCAGGCACCGCAGGAACTCGACGAGTCGATCGTCGAGGAGATGGCGGCCGCCGTGGGCGGGGCACTCGCGGCTGGGCGATTCCGAGGAAGCCGCGGGCGCGCGCCTTGCTCCGCGGCGACAGCCCGCTCAGCGCGTCTCGGGCGACCTGTCGCGGGCGGGCCCGGAGGTGGCCGCGGCGGCGCGCGGGGGCCCCGTCGATTTGTCGGGGCGAACGCCCGACGCGAGGACCTATGGCGCGTGTGCGGGATTGTCCTGAACCTTCACCCTCCGGCGGGCGCCGCCACGGGGTGGGCGGGGGGCCCTGCTCGCCCAAAGCTGTCAATGTCTCCGCCGCAGTGGCGGGGGGCCCGAGGCAGGAGGGGCGCCCCCGACCTCCGAGATCACTATTGGGGTTTGGCAGGGCTTCGAGATTTCCCTCGCGCGCGGACGCGGTGCTGCAGGTTCCTGACGGTGGCCAGGCCCCTGCGCGCAGGCCACCGGTCTCCGCCACCCATCAAATCGGCTTCAACGACAGGCCCTGTATGTTTTTGACCGCCATCGCACCGCTTTCAAGGCCGAGCGACAATACTCATGCGTCTGTCAAAGCAAAAATGTATCATTTCTTATGCTTGTTCTCTTTCTCTCTCTCTCTCTCTCTCTGTCTCTATCTTTCTTTCAGCCCGACGATTTTAGCCAGAACGTTGGGTTTAGGTGATCGGTCGTTTCGTGGATATACCACCCACCTTCTTGGGGCATCAAGGTCCTCAGAGTCGCTGGACACTGCGCGCCGGGCCCCCAGCTACGCCACCCGTAGAAGACGCGTCAACATCAGCCCCTGCCTGTCTGCGACCGCCATCGCACCGCTACTGAGGCTATTCGAAGGTACCCGACGTCGTGTTTCTCACCGCGTGCCAATTCCATGGGTCCCGGGAATCAGCTTCTCACCCCGAATCGTTTTCGGACGGCCCATGGGGCCCGGCAAGGACTCCTCGGGAGGCCGGGAATACCCAAAATTTGTCCATCGCGTTTCTTTTCTTGGCGCGAGGCTGTCCAGGCTTGTGGGGCACGAACCAATTTCCAGATTTTGCTCGAGGTGCGGATTGATGAGAATTTCGACATGGACCCAGCCGTGGCGACGAGAGTGGTCGATGAGGCCCCACAGGACGACAGCAAGGACACGAAATTCGAACCTCGAGAGGTTGCTCGGCGGGGAAGACGTCGTGCCGAAGATTTCCCGTCGTGGTCTCTGCGCGGCGCGGGGGCGGCGCCGAGCAGCGGGAAGGGCCCAAGCGGGGATGCTCGGCCCGCCGGCGCCCGCCTGGTCGCCAGGGAGGGCCCGAGCGCGCACCCCACGCCTCCTCCTCCTCCTCCTCCTCCTCCTCCTCCTCCTCCTCCTCCTCCTCCTCCTCCTCCTCCCCTCCTCTCCTCCTCCTCCTCCTCCTCCTCCTCCTCCTCCTCCTCCTCCTCCTCCTCCTCCTCCTCCTCCTCCTCCTCCTCCTCTCCTCCTCCTCCTCCTCCTCCTCCTCCTCCTCCTCCTCCTCCTCCTCCTCCTCCTCCTCCAGGACATTCGCTGTCAGGGGGTGGGCCATCGCCGATCGGCGATGCATCGCCGATCTGACGTCAATTTTTCCCCAGCCTCAGTGGCCATGGTCAATTCTTGCCCCGACCCAGCGTCAATGTTTCCCCATCGGCGACGCATCGCCGATCTGACGTCAGGTTTTCAGGCCATGGTGGTGGCTTTCGGGCCATCCTTCGGGCCGCCGGGGGCCGTTTGGGGCGATCTGGGAAACCCGGGCCGCCCCTCGGCGAGGCGCAGCCGGCGGAAAGCATCCCAAATAGTTCGGGCGGTTTATGATGGGGGTTGACGGACATGGGGGGTGAAGAAAAACAAAACACCTCAAGGGGTTGTTTAGGGCCCCCGCTGGCTCCAAAGGAAGCCGTCCAGGGCCTTTTTTGGTTCCGTTTTCTTCACCCCCCCATTTTGGGTCAGGGGGGGAAGACACAACAAAAAAACTCAAGGTACCCTTCATGACCCTTGCTGGCTCCAAAAGAAGCCCTCGAGGGTGCCTTTTGGGGACTCCGTTTTCTTCACCCCCCCATGTAGGTCAGGGGGCGACCTGCACGGCGTTTTGGCGATTTTGTGGGCCGTTTTCGCTTCGATGGTGCTTTGCAGCCAAAAGCGCGGATTTCAGTCAAAACGCGTACACCACTACCCCGCAAGCGAAAACGAACAGCACTGTTTAGGCCGACCCCTGATAGGTCGTCCCCGTCACCACCCGCCGGAGACGTCCGAAAACCTCGGGCCTCGAGACCGCCCCTGTCGTTGCCCCCCGCGGCGCGGTGCGGAGCACGCCGCGCGCGCGAGGGCGGCTCCTCGGGCACCGGCGCGGGCGAGCCGGAGGAGCCCGTGGCCCTGGCGGTGCGGTCGAAGACGGGCGACGCGCTCGGGCGGGGGCGGGGAGGATGGGCGAAGATTGGAGCGGCCGCGGATTTTCTGGCGCCTTTTCCGGCCTCCGGGGGCCCTCGCCGGGCCTCCTCCTCCTCCTCCTCCTCCTCCTCCTCCTCTCCTCCTCCTCCTCCTCCTCCCAGCTCCTTCCAGCTCCTCTCCTCCCTCCTCCTCCTCCTCCTCCTCCTCCTCCTCCTCCTCCTCCTCCTCCTCCTCCTCCTCCTCCTCCTGCTGCTCCTGCTCCTGCTCCTGCCTCCTCCTCCTCCTCGCGGAGGCCTCGGGGACACTCGAGGAGACGGTTCGGGGCGAGGAGCCGGCGCCAGGGAGGTGGTCCAGACTTCGATGGGGCCCACGCGTCGCAGAAGAGTGGGGCGGGGTCGGGCACGCGCAAAAGGGTGTATCGGGGGTGGACAGAACCCCCAACAGTGACACGTCGATTAGTGAATTGTCCGTGTTCGGTTCTCGAGAGGACGCCGTGGCCGTCATTTTCCAGGCCTGCGCCCGCCAGGTTTGGGCCTCCCCCTCCCCCTAACCCCCCTGCGCGCGCCGCCAAAATAAAAGGAAGGAGGGAGAGACGAGGGGGGAGGTAGACGAAGTCGAAATGGGAAGAAGTATGGAGATGGAGGACGAGGACGACGATGACGAGGACGACGACGCCGAGGGCGAGAAGGACGAAGAGGAGGCCCGTGGCTCTGGCGGTGCCCCCTCACTCTGACCTTAGCCCCTCACCTGTAGATAAGAGTGAGGGGCGGCGGGGTTGTCGGCAGTCTGCGAGGCTCTGAAGAAGTCCGCCGCAGGCGCCGATTTTGTCGTACACATTGTGTCACGAGCCCGCCGCGGGCACCGAATTTTATGCAAAGTTGTGTGAGTGGGGTTCGGGTGGGTCGCGGGCGGGTCGCGGGTGGGTCGCGTGCGGATCTCGGGCGAGGGCGACAACATTACATGTCAGCAAACATCAACAAGAAGACACACTGCGGAAGCTCATTTCAGCCACGCACTCAGGGACACGGTAAGAACATTCGGCCCCCTACTTTGATTTACACTTCGCGTGCGCATCTACGGGGCCCAAACATATATACTAATACAACCTCCCTCCCCCCCTCCCTCTGTCAGGAAGGAGGCGAAAAAGAGGATGGTGGAGGAGGGAGGGGGAATTGAAGTGGTGGTGGCGATGTATATTCTTGGGGCCCGCAGTATCCCCACCAGTCCATCCAGAAAATATGCAAGGCGAGTTGCCCTGATCGGGGAAGCGTGGGGGGATCCAGAGGAGCAGGCAGGTGGGTCAGTCGTCAGTCCCGAGCTCGGAGTCGGCTTGAGCATTCCCAGGAGTAGAATTGCTCAGCCTTGATGGGCCGATCTTCCACCACCACTTCCATAGGTAGGACGAGGGAGATGGAAGGACAGGGAGGTCCTCCTCACCCTTCTTCTTCTCCTCCTCCTCATTCTTCTCCTCCTCCCTCGCTTATCTATGGTAGTGGTGGTGAAACATCTGCCCACTAAGCCTAGCGGCGAAGAAGGAGGAGTTTGGTAAGGACGGGAAGGCGGAGGATACAGAGGAGGAGTGAAAGAGCATGAACGCGCATGGATCAACTGAAGCCCTACCAGAGAGTTCAATAACGTTTGGACACTCCGCAGCTTGCCGAAGGCACGGTGGCGGATGACCGTTGCTCGTTGGAGCTGTTATACCCTCCCCCCCCCTTTGACCCGCTCCCTGCGCCAGTCCTCTGTTGCCGAGCCGAGCCAGGGCGGGACCAGGCGCCAGCGCATCCGACGCCGCAGAGCGAACAAGTGGTACTGAGCCCGCTGGGCCGGCCGCCGAGACGCAGGCGCAGTTTGACTCCGTGGGTTCTGCTTGTGCGCTGGGCGGAGTACGAGGACGAGGGCGAGGAGGAGGAGGAGGAGGAGGAGGAGGAAGAGGACGACGAGGAGGAGGAGGAGGAGGAGGAGGAGGAGGAGCAGGAGGAGGAAGAGGAGTTGGAGGAAGAGATGGAGGAAGAGGTGGAGGTGATGCGGCGCCGCGCGGTCCGGAGCCGGCCCCCCCCCGTCCGCTGTAGTCCCGTACGGCAGCATGCAGCTGACCAGGACCCTGAGCAGTCCACCGGGATCGGCGGCCGGCGAGGGGGGCAAGCGAGAAGGAGAAGGCCTTCTCGGGTTTGCACGAACGAAATGGGCACGGGAAGAATGGGTACAATGCCCAACAGCGGATCTTGCTCATTTTGAACAGGACTCGCTGTCCACGACGCCGCGGTCTGTGCCAATTCGAGACAGAAGGCCGCCTGCCCAACAGCAGCCGCTGTTGGTTTGGGACAACAGTTGTTGTTGGGCATTGTACCCATTCTTTCCGTACCCATTTCGGGCGTCCAAACCAGAAGGCGGCGGGATTTCTCAGAAGCCCTCGCGCCTTTGAGAGGTGTTCTGTGTCTTCCGTGGAGGCTCAGAAGACTTCCCAGAAGTCCGGGGGACTTCCGAGCCTTTGAGAAGGCCCGCCCCCTCTCACTTCACTTCGGGGCGCGCCACCGACTGGAGAGACCGCCCCATTCATGTATTGATCCGCGGCTGCGGTTTTCTCGGGCGCGCCAGTGGGACCAATCCGTCGCTTCAAATACTTCACGGTCCTGGTTTGTACAGTCAAGCCGAGGTATAAGATCGAGGTTCCTTCGGGGAGGGTACCCTAATGTTCTTCGTGTCTGTTGGATGTTCTTGTGCATCCTGGGGGAGGGTACCCTCGAATGCTCTTCATTTTGGCGGGCGGAGGGTCTCATGTTCTCGAAGGATGCTTTTCTGTCCCATATCCGACTGTGCATCAGAGGCCCCGCTCAGGGTGCCCCAAGTTCAGTCGGCGCCGATACATCGGCAGTTTGACGCGGTTCGTTGTTTGCGTATTGTTTTGCCAATCGGCGCAGGTGTTTTTGGGCGTCTGTTTTGAGCGGGTGGAGTCTCCCCCAGAGGCAGCATTCTTGCAAACAGTCGCACTAAGCAGAGGTCTGGAGCCAGACCCCCCTTCCTCCCTCCTTCTCCGCCCAATGTCCAAACGCTCAATAAATTCTTTACGCTTCGCGTATCCCCACCAGCCCATCTCACAGCAGCAACTCTCGCGAAGCATGCCGACAGTCGTGTTTTTACCTAACAGCGAAGACTGATAGGTTTCTAGTTACCTAACAGCGAAGACTGATAGGTTTCTAGTGGTCTCAAAAGAGCTCACAGATCACTCCACAGGGGGGTCCGGGCAGGTGTTGGGGAGTTGCCGGGCGGCAGGGTGCCGGGCTCGTTTTTCACCAACAGTCACACACTTCGTGCTCTTCGACTTCCCAGAACTCCATTCCCAGGCCACATTCTGAATACCCGGATGCAACAGTCACACACTTCGTGCTCTTCGACATCCCAGAACGCCATTCCCGGGCCACATTCTGGAGGGCCGTATGCAACAGTCACACACATCGTGCTCTTCGAGTTCCCAGAACTCCATTCCCGGGCCACATTTTGGATGCCCGGATGCAACAGTCACACACTTCGTGCTCTTCGAGTTCCAGAACTCCATTCCCGGGCCACATTTTG